TACAAATAAGGTGATATATAATTCAATGGTGGTAGTTTTAGTAATCTGATTTAAATAGGATTGAAGAAGTAAACCCAGATCAATACTTTAGGATGCATCATGACTGTAGAATAGGACACAAGTTTAGCGTTGTAAATGTCAGATACTAGGCAGTTTTTTTTTCCTACGCAGAGGGAATCAATGACTTATTTATTTATTTATTTAATTTATCTGGTTGCCAGGAACAGGTGTTAGAAGCCAGGACACTGGATTCATTTAAAAAGCAGCTTGATGCTGTGTTAAAGGAACGCTACGATGGGGGGGTTTCTGGAGGGATGAGATTGGATGGGCCGAATGGCCTTCTTCATCCAGACCAATCCTGTGATCTTGTGTGAAAACAGCACTGAGCAGTCTCTGCACAGCTACGTCCCCATCTATAATGTTATGAAAATCAAATGTCAAGGTCACATTTCATTGAGGGACTCTAATGAAGCTCATAAGTGTCAAAGTAGTATTTGGTAGTGGCATGGGAGCTTGTTCTTTTTGCTACACATAGTGAATATTTTTTGGGAGATCAAGGATAGAAATAGAAGAAAAATAACTTCACTCTCTGCAGATGCTCGCGCATACTGAAGAAAATTGTGCCAAATTTCTCAGTCTATCATAAATCAACATAATCCAGTATCCTAGCTAAATCCTACAGGGATAAAGACTCTGCCCTACAAACCTCTGCATGACCCAAAACCTGGTTTAAGCTAGAGTGGGAGCATTCAATGGAATATTAACTTCCCATGGTATGTGATGCAACTTCATCACTTCTGAAGTCATGCTAAGGTTCTGCGTTTGTTAACTGTCTGTGCTGAGTTACCTGATCTCAGGTGGCATGTCGGTAGGACATTGCAAAGGCTGCACAGGATTAATTGGGAAGTGTAGTGACTGTGTAATTTGTAGGGGACTCAGCAGCCACTTTGCGCACCACAACGTGCCACAAACAGCCATGAAGTGACTGGCTGATTTTTATTTGGGGGATTGTTGGCCAGGATACCGGGAGAAAGTCCCTTTTCTTTTTGAAATCTTACTGGGATAATGAGATAAATCTACGTGGGGGGAGGTAAAGAGGAGAAAAACAAAATTTGCGACAGTTGCTGTTCCTCAAAGTGAAGTGGGCCAGTCTCCTAGCTGGAAAGTACATGCCCATGGACATCCTCGGAGGCTATCGACTCAAATTGCCTGCTAGCATTCATCACCCATACTCTCCCACCCTCTGTTCAAATCCCACATGGTATCCTCTTTGACCTCACTTTGAATAATCTCTCCCTTCCCCATCCTCTTCAGTTCCCAACCCCAAGCTTGGGTGCTCAGTGAAAGGTGCCATATAAATGTATTGCATTTAGAAAAAGGTTTTGGATAATGAGAAGTGAGCTGATCCCAGCAGCAGAGAGGAAACTGAAGGAATGCGAAAATGGAAGCAAAAAAAAAACACCCTCCCATGAGAATGGAGGGCTTCTCCGAATGCTTTGTGGGTGAAGGTATCAGCTGGTGTAACACATTACATCATCAACAGAACCATAGCACTTGGAGCAGAGCCACATGTAGCAAGCATGAGTTTCTCCATAACAAGCCTATTTGAGTAAAAGCGTGCCAAGGTTGACAGCAGTGCAGTAAATTAAGATAATCCAGTGTTTCAGCTAAATCTTACAAGGATAAAGACTGAGCATTGCAAACTTCTCCATGGCCCAAAACTTGATTTAAACTGGAGTTGGGAGCATTGGATGGAATGTGAACCTCCCACTGGGTGTGATATGCGTTATCACTTCTGTCATTATTTTCAATACAATTGTGCAAATAGGGTCAGGTTGCAGAATCCCAGGATCCCAGAATGGTTTTCCTGCACTGGCACAACTCCAAATAAATTACTGAAGTCCTGGGGTAATTCACTACTAACAGTATGAGAGACAGAGTGCGTGTGTGAGAGCGGGCTGTCAAGCGAGCAACGGAGACAGAATGAAAGTGAGAGAGGAGGCAAGAGACAGTTATTTGTTATCTTAAATCTTTTAAATATCGCTGTGTATTGTAAAAAAAAGGCCATATAATGATGTTGCGTATTTTTAAAATTAGTTTCCTTTTTAAAATTGTGCTCAAAAATTGATGTGTGGACTCATGCAGACATGTGCAAATGCAATTGAATTGCTTCACAAAGTACACCAAATCATTGATCCGCACACCAGTGTTGACCCCCTTCCCTCTGTTTCTGAGTGCATTTGTGTGCATGCATGCGAGGACCGAATGTGCGTGTGTAGGTGGAGCTATGTATGTGTGTATGTTTGACTTGGTGGGGGGGCTGGGTTCCGAGTGATTTTGTTGGTGTGGGAGTTAAATGTATGTGTGTCCGTGGGTTAGGTGTGGAAGGGGGCTGAGTATGTGTGTGGGAGCTGAATGTGTGTGTGTGTGTTGGGGGGGAGGCTGAGGTCTGTGTGAATGTATGTGTGTGTGGGCCGAGTTCTGTGTGTGTGGGGGGGAGTGCAGGGGCTGATGTCTTTGTGTGTGGGGGCTGGGGGCTGTGTGTGGGGGGGCTGGGGTCTGGGTGTGTGGGGGCTGGGGTCTGTGGGGGCTGGGGTTTGTGTGTGTGGGGGCTGAGGTCTGTGTCTGTGGGACTTGAATGCGTGTGGTATGTGTGTGGGGGGGCAGGGGTGAGGTCTGTGTGTGTGGGAGCTGAATGTGTGTGGTGGGGGGGGGGGGGGGGCGGTGGGGTTGAATTCTGTGTGTATGGGGCCTAGGTCTGTATCTGTGGGAGCTGAATGTGTGTGGTGTATGTGTGTGTGGGGGGGTGTGCATGGGGCTGACGTCTGTGTGTGTGGGCTGAATTTATGTGGTGTATGTGTACATGCATGCGCAGGCCTATGCGTTTGTGTGGGCAATGCATTTTTCCACTGAGGGATATTTGGCATTTGACTCCCAATAAAATAAATATTTTTGACTTTTTTAAGTTAATTTTTTTTAAAATAACACAATTTATTTTCCCTTGATATCGAATAGTTTTCTTCCTTCTTGATTCTTTTGATCTTAGTTTCTCATTACACTTTTAATTCCCTTCAGGATTTCCTCTTTTGTTTGGTTGTTTTATTTTTCTACTCTTCATTAGGAAATCTGTCTCCCTCTATTGTCCTTGCAGCTTTTTTTGCTCGCTAAGCCAACTGTCCCAAGTATTACCAAAAAAATATTTTGCTAGGGGAGGGGGTTGGGGAAAGAAACAAGGGAATAGGGAAGTTTGGTGTTAGCTTGACTCAGCTGGTTGCACTCTTACCTCCAAGTCAGAAGGTTGGAGATTCAAGCCTCATGACTTTGACCTAATCTAGGCTGTCACTGTCCAGGCGGAATGCAATTCTGAGGGAGCAAGTCATTGTCAGAGAGGCCATCAACGAGACGTTAAACCAAGGTCCTGCCTGCCTGTTCAGGTGGATGTTAAAGATCCCATGGCACTATTCGAAAAGAGAAGGGAGTTTCTCCTGGTGTCTTGGTGTCTGGACCAACAATTCTCAATTGATAAAATGGGTCATTCACTTCATGGCCGTTTGTGTGACATAGGCTGTGGGCAAAATGGTTGCTGCATTTGCCTACAACTAGTTATTACACTTCACAGTAAAAAAAATATTTCCTGGAGGAGCGCTTTCAGACATCTTCCCAACGTTATAAGGCACAATACCATAATACACGTATTATTATTGTGACTAAATATTGATAAAAATCACCAAAAACGACTGCCCTTTTGACATTATAATCACGACCTTCTCTGGACTATCACCTTTATTTCTATATTCAAGAGGTAGAAAGTCCAGACTTTAGTCATTGGCTCAAACAGATACAGGCTTGATGACTGTCGAGAAATCCCTCCCATAGTCTTCAAAATAATGGAATATTTGGTCATTAGAACTAAATTAGTGCTATTTATATTAATATTCCAACTTGAATATTTATTTTTTCTTATTTAAAACTTTCCATTTGCTTAAGTTCACCTGGCCTACAATCCCTCAGATAAAATCGGTCTTTTACTTCAAGGTTGTTTGTGGGACACTGCTGTGGGCAAATTGGCTGCTCCGTTTCCCTTGAAATACACTCACAAAACTTTACAGTAAATGCTGTGAAGTGCTTTGACATGCCCTCCTGATGTGAAGGGCGCTTTATCAAGTGCAATGATTATTATTATTACATGAAGTGATAAAGCGCTATATAAATGGTAATTACAGCATAAATGTAATGCCATGCTGCACTCCCATTGTCAGAACAATTACTTTTAGAGGTGCAGCTGAGCTACCCAGGAGAATGATAGAAATCTACTGTTACAATTTACACTTAAAACAGTTCAAATGAATTCAACTCAAAGTCTGTGGAACGTTGTTTTGCTGGTGCTGCCACATTTTCCTATATAACATTCTTTCCGAAATACAAGATTTATTCACAGAACNTTTTTTAATTGCGCTACTTTTTGTTCCATCTGTTGTGTAATTCGAAGGGACAATCCCCTGCCCTTTGCCATTTAAAAATAAACAGTAAAAATTTGCCTTTTGCTTACCATAGCTAATATTTCCTCCAGATACACTGATATGTTCACATGGAAGTGGCATACCTATTTGGAACTCTCAGTCTGGTTTGGATACTCTAAAGCTGGCAGCCCATGGGCCGATTTCATCAGCCCCTCCCTCCACCTTCATCTGGCTCATCCCCTCCCTTTATAAACCGTAAATGTCATGTTACGTTTCTCGAAGGGAAACACAAAAATATTGCTTATGTGGCTCGCGGACGTTTCTCAAATAGGGCATCCGGCCTCCAGCAGCCAAAAGGCTGGACCACTCTGTTCTAAAGCATGGAGATGGCTTTCCGTATGTATCGACTATCCTGTTGTTAAGGCTCACTTGTAAATACTAGCCACTTGGACAATCAATCAACGGAAGGAAAAAAGAGTCATACAACTTCATGAATTAAAAATTGAAGGAAAGAGGGGAAAAAAGCGATTCGATACTTACATCTAGAGAATGTTCATTTAAAATCATGAGACCCATGTTTTTTGTCAGGAGTTTACAGGAGTATCCTAGTTAGGGACAAAACAAAGACACAGTGAGAAATGGCTCATTGCTCAATTTCAAGATCCTCACACTTTTTTCAAATTCCTTCATGTCTTGGCACACCCCTCTCTCTCCGGCCTGCTTAATCCCCAACCCACAACCTCTGGCCTTCTGCTTGTCCCTCATGCTCTCTGTTCCACCATCAGCAGCCAATACACCTCAAAACCCTGGAACACTCTTCCTCTGTCCCTCCCCCTTGCCCCTTCCTTCCCCATCTTCAGGTTGCGCCTGAAGACCTCCTATTCGACCGTATGTACAGTCATCTCCCCTCAGCTCGGCATTGTGCTCTGCCACTGTCAAGCTCTCTGAGACGCTACTCTGTGTGAGAGGCGATACATAAATGCAAGTTGTTGTTGCTCAATTGGGCTGTTGTGTTTTCTGATAAATACAGTCACTCCACTTCACAGTAAATCCTAACAAGTACTTTGGGACGTTCTCCTGACATGGAAAGTGCTTTTCCAAATGCAAGGCATATTATTAGTGTGAAGGGTACAAGCAATAAATTTGATTTTGCAGTAAATGCTGTATCTGTGATACTAAGTCATAAACATTTAATAATTTGTTTCATTGAAGAATCACTATTTTAATACATAGAGAACACTATACAAACAGTTTAAAAAAGTACTGAACTTCAGATAAATATTCTTTTCCTTTCAGCAAACTTTAAATAGACACACATATTGAGGCACTGCTGCACACTAGTTCAGTGTAGAAAGTCTAAGTTAATTGATCAAAGATTAAAACTCAAAACTTATTTAAAAACATTCTCTCTGTAATGGGAAAAAAAGCTTTCTAGATACAATTCTCAAATGTTACTGAATGCATCCAAGATCAATAAGAAAATAGAAATCAAATGTATGAATTGGAAAAGCATTACTGTCCTGTGTATAACTTTCCATGCAAAACAAAGCTTTTATACAGTCACCATATTTACTCTAGATATGCAACAGCAAGTATGGAGCCTATAAAACGAAAGAGGCAAGGTTATGGTTAGGAATTTAACCTATAAGGGTTAGCTTGTGTTAGCACTTTGTAATACTTTTTTCCTTGATGAAGGATTTTTCTTTGCTATATTCGATGAATTGCAGTTTGCTTTCCATTCTTTTTTATAACCACCCCCCACACAAATTTTGACATTAAAAATAATAATTAGAAATGTCAGTCGTGCTTCTGAAATCCTTTCCTCCTCCTCACGAAGTTTAGAGAATTTGTTTTGTGTGGTTTTTTTGTTTAAAAAGTCCAGAAAGCAGAAGACACATGGAAAACCCTTACGCAACCCCCAAAAAATCTATAACTTATTTAAAAATTGAAATTACTTTATGGTTACTGTGGCTTTTGTGCCTTTATTTTCTGCGTAGTTTTTCCAGGTTTCCACTACACGGTCCTCTGCAAATTAACATCTGTGCTAAAGAGAATTCTCAAACATGTGGCTGTGGAAAATGAGCTGAACGGAATGACGATGTTACAATGTTGACTATTATTAGTTTTTTTAAAAAAAATTGGAATAGAAATATTGTTTAAATGTGATTTTACTTCTTTTAAAAAAATACATGATTAGAAATGAAAATATTTTGTACTATTTATTTGGAGGTTTTGCTTTCGGTGCATCAAACTACTGTTTGTGTTTTATAAAACTGAAGGGAGGTCTGGTAAAATAGAAAGACACCGAATGTAATGACCGGTTATTTTGGAAGTGGAAGCTGATCGCACATCAGTGAGCAAACCAACTCAAACACCCTGTGAGAAGACAGCCTCTCTGTTGGAAAACAAATGTTAAGTCACACAAGGGAGCCATAAAAAGGAAGGAAATAAATCCATCTGTTGAACATTTTTCAAATTAATGAGACATCATCACTTCTAGATGCACAAAACGGTGCAATGGACAGGTCAGTTTGACCGTTTTCAAAAGCAATTAAATGTCAGAGTCCAATGAGAGGTTTTCTGTCAGACACTGAGACAGATGGACGAAAGCACCACAACAAAAAGTCTCCATTTCTAGCCAGAGGCTTCAGAACTTTGGATTATCGAAAAGCAATGAGCCTGCCCCATCAACTTACTCATTCAAACACCTGCTTCACAAATCAGTGCCTTGGAAGCTGATTCCCAGGCGCCGTTTGAAACTTCCGACTACACTCAAGATTAATTTGAGCTGCTTTAAGACAAGCTGCTTGGTTTACATAGGAGGCTGCCATTTGGCCCAATATGCCTGTGTCGTGCCAATCCCCAATGGAACTCTGTTATAATCCAATTTTCCTTCCACCTTTATTGAATCTTTAATCTTCGTGCGTTTACCTAATTCCCTTTTAGATGTTAGAATTGGTGGTTCCCAAGAACTCTGCAAAACTGAAGGATCTACTTTCGCTCTCATGGGTCTGGTATTCTTTAAGTTGCACCTTCTTGCTGACGATTCACTAAATAATGGAATTCTTCCACTATTTACCCTCCCAAACCATTTTGGTCTTGAAAGATTCTGCGAGATTCCCCCCTTAACTTTCTTTGTGGGAGAAACAACCACTTGACTGTACAAGAAGGATTTATCCAAGGCGGCACAACAAGAGGGGATAAAGATGTGAAGAGCAATGTTTAGGATGGATACAGAAAATATTTATTTATAAAATAGGGTGATTAACAGAATTAGCAGCGTGGGAGAGAGCAGGCTATGGACCTATTTAAGAAGGAACTTGATGCTGTAATGTAGACAGTAGAGCATCACTCACACTCGGCTGCCCAGACCTTTAAAATTATTAATGGGAGGCATCAGATTGTAAATTTTCGATGTAAACAGAATGATAGTTACTAAAACAGCAGTGATGCTCTTGAACATCTAGCCTCAAATAGAGAGTTATGGGGGAGGCTTATTAAACAAATTATATAGCTCTCGCTGTTTCTTGATTGCTATGAGATTACCCTTAAGGTGAAAAATGTCTATCTAATTCTCTCCAGACATTACATTTGTCACCCTCCTTCCCCCACAGCATAAGTATGAGAAAGTACAACAAATATTTTTCAAGTTTGCATACAATACGTTTCTACATATACATGTATTTGAACATAGCCTACAGTGATACACTATTAAATGCAATTCCAGCCATACCTATATTAATAGCAGTTTCCTGCTTGTCTCCTGTAATGATCCAGATTTTGATGTCTGCTTTGAATAATGTTTCTATGGTTTCTGGCACTTGGTCTTGAAGTCTATCTTCAATTGCTGTAGCTCCAAGCAACTGCAGATTCTATCAAAACGACATGGAAAGTAATTAGTAGCAGAGCAAATAGGTAACCTTATCAAAGCATTTACTGCACAGGTTACCAAGCTAAGTACAACCATATTGACAAAGGGTTTGCCAATTCTGAGCAAACTAGAATTCCAGTGTTGACCACCAAGATTTTAACCACAGGTTTGAGAACATTCCTTGAAATGCTCTGTCACAGAAAGCGGATGTAAATTTCACTTCATGGCTGCTTGTCAGATACCTCTTTGTGCAAACCGGTTGCTGTGTACACCTACAAAATACAGTCACCACATGTTATAGTATTTCCTGTGAGGACATGACAAATGCTTTATCGAATACAAGAAATCTTATTAATTTTTCATTTAAAGGATATTATCAGTAAAACGATAGTAGGAACAATGATGCTCGACAATAAATGCGCTTTGTTTTATTCTACCCTCCATTCAAATGTCTTGAGTTATTTGAAGGCCAAGGTGTTTTATTGGCTATAGTCAAACATTAGTTACGTACTTTACACATTTTTTTTCTCGGCATCAGAGAACATTAAATATGGCTTTTATGAACAGAAAAAGAACATTTTTTCCAACAGTCGTATCCTGTTGATATTAAATCCTAACCAAATGCTTTATTATAATAATCCTTGCATTTGATATAGCGCCTTATCACGTTGTCAAAACATCTTCAGAGGATACTGTGTAAAGTTAATTGACTGTGTATTTTGCTTTCTCACCATAACTCCAAAAAAATTCTCTTTAGATACGCATCTGATTGTCTCTTGAACCTATCCATAAATTGATTACCCTTTCTATAAACAAGGTCTGCCTGACTTCCTAGTTACTCCTAATTTCTAACTTGTGTTCCCTGGTATTTGACCTTTCACTAAAGTGAATAATTTCCCTGCACAAACCTCTGCTTCATGACCTTGAAAGCATCCGTAGGGTCATCTTGATGTCTCCTCTCCTATTTTCCTAAAGAGAAGAAACTCTTTACCCTTTGTTTGTTAACCTTTCCTTAGGACTTAAATTCCTGACACTTAGAATCATCCACTTTGCTCGTTTCACCTGTTTACTCTCTCAGGATGATATCCTTCCTCTAGCGTACAATAAATACAAACAGTAAGTCTTAAGATGGATAGGTTCTTAAAATCTTTGCAGCTTGAATGCGGTAGAATTTATCAAGGGAGAAGTTGAAAGATTCCCAGAGTGTCAGTTGAGTGGCTGTTCACTAAGAGTAAACATTGTAAAAATTGTAATGATCAAAGTGGCTGGACTAGATTTCCAAGTCAGTGGATTTCCAGGTCAGATGCCCAGAAGTGATGCTGAACTTATACAGTGCTCTAGTCAGGTCAGATAACAACAGTTTGCATTTATAAATGTTTTTAGAAATACAAACTGTTGTTGTGTGGCCTGACGAGAACACTGTATAACTTCAGCATCACTTCATTCAGGGTAGCGTCTCAGAGCACTGAACAGTGGCAGAGCGGGTAGAGGGGATGTCAAACAGGAAGGTCTTGGGGTGTGATCTGAAGACAAACTAGGAGCGGGCAAGGTGGATGGATTGAGGCAGAGGTTTCCAGAGCTCAGGGTCTAGTGGCTAAAACACAACAGCAGATCGTGGACCGGAGTGAGAAAGGGACGTACAGCAGACCGGAGCCAGTTGAATGAAGGGGCAGATAGAGGAATGGGGTGAAAGCAGGTCGGAGAAGTAGGGAGGGCATGAAGCGATTTGTACATGAGTGAGGATCTTATAATTAGCCTGTGCTACAATAGGGAGCCAGTCAAGCCTGGCAAGCACTGGGGTGATGCAGATGTGGGGTTTAGTACGGGTGGGGCTGGGCGGCATACTTTCGAATCAATTGGATTTTATGAATGATGGGAGCTGGGGAGACTGTTGAGGAGAGCATTGGATAAATCAAGATGAGGGGTGACAAATGCGTGATAAGGGTTCAGCTGCATTGGGTGTGAGGTATGGTTGGAGGTGGCGGTTGTGGGCTAAATGCAGGGTCGGAAGGACAGCTGATATGGATTGTGCATATGTTCAGAGAATCTGATGAATAGGATAAGTAGGTTAATAAGGTTGGATCTGCAGGTGAGAAGACGTTGATGGAAGCCAAGAGGATGGCTTCCGCCTTTTCAACATTCAGCTGCATAAAGTTGGAAAAAAGGTGGCTGGAAAAAAAGTCTGATACAATTTTTAATCATAACTTCTTATAATCTTCTGCTTGCAACCTTTTTTCTGGCAGAAGACCCGGAACAAAAAGACCCCATAAATCAAGCCGTTCAGTGCAACAGTGTGAGTAGAAACGTCTATGATTCTATGAAGTCTCAATGTGTACAGGATTCTTTGGCTCTTAAATATGGTTTTGCAATTTATCAACGGAATGAACACTTAAATAATACATTAACAATCTGTTCTCACTTCCGTGACCACTAACTTGTTAATCATTCACCTAAGCAGTCAGTTTAACACCTCATTAGTCCACATCTACTGAAGTCCAGCCAGTGTAAAGGTACCTTTTTGAAAAAAAATCCTTTAGTCCTGAACTTTCAAGCCGCAATTTAAGGAAAACTTTTTTCAAACAATTTTTGTGTAACAAATACTACATATGGATTTGTAGATTTTTGATAAGTCTAGATGGCAATAATGGAAAATCAGTTAATATTTCTTAGTGCAAAATTCTGCTTCAAATTTAACTACAGCCCATCAGAAACCTTACAAAAGTTGTTGTTGACCGAGTGCAATAGCTTATTCCTAGGCCAGGGAACTACAAAATAAGTCACTGGTTAAGCATTTCATATTAACAATGTTTAATTTGGTGGCAAATACTTTGGAACTTCAAAGTTCCATGGTTGCATGAAATTATATTGAAACATTTTTGTTCATCCTAGTTTATCGACCATTTTCTTTTTTAATGGTTAATTCCTCACTTATGTAGTGATGGAAGTTGGTTTATTTACTGGTAGGTCATTAAATAAAGGAGCCACAAAGCTGTTCTATGATTCAATACTGCCATCTTCTGGTAATCCTTGCTCCTTCTGGAATGTTAAATGCAACGTCTTGAAGCACTTCATAGGATAGACTAAAGTGTATTGATGGTGTATTTTGTGAGCAAAACATGGTAAGAAGTGAGAATGCTACCACTGAGCCGGGCTGAGGTCCGAAATATGTGGTCAACAAAGGAAGCTGAGGATACCCAGCAAGATATGGGAGGAATCTAAGGGTAAATGAAGACACAGTTAAAGAGAAAGGTCTTTGGGAGGATTTTTGAAAGTGGGCAGAGAGATATTAATGCAGGGGTCTGGAAGGGAGTTCCAGAGAGCAGGACATGGTGACTGCATAAATTGACAAATATCACTGTGCCCAAAACAATATTTCTAAATATGTATTTTCTAAAACACAAAAGTAATAATTTGAAAACATTAAGTACAAAGCGGTCAAATCAAAATATTTTTTCAATTAATAATCAGTCTAGAGAACACCGATATATACACTTCAACTCGGCTTTATCTGGAAGAACACATTTTAGATTGAACAGCAATTGCATTTCTTCTGAGCTGTAAGACTATCCTGCAACAACAACAACAAGATTCCATTTATTGAGCGCCTTTCACGTCGGGAGGACGTCCCAAGGCGCTGGACAGTTGGGTCAGGACCCAAGCAAGGGGGAAATGGTCAGGGTGAGGGGAGGGAAGGGAGGGAGCGAGGAGGGGGTAGAGAGTCGAGAGGGGAGCTGAAGGCACAGTCAAAGAGAAAGGTCTTGAGACCGGCCTTGAAGGAGGAAAGGGAGGAGGCGGTGAAGGCACTGGGGGATAGAGTTCCAGAGCCTCGGGGCTGAGAGGCTGAAGGCCCGGCCACCGATGGTAGGGCGGTTGGGGCGGGGGATGTGGAGCAGACCGGAGCCAGAGGAATGGAGGGTACGGGCAGGTAGGTAGGGGGATAGTAGGTCGGAGAGGTAGGAGGGAGCGAGGCCGTGAATGGCCTTGTAGGTGAGGATGAGGATCTTGAATTCAATCCTCTGGGGGATGGGGAGCCAGTGGAGGCGAGCGAGGGTGGGAGTGATGTGGTCGCGAAGCCTGGTGCGGGACAGTACACGAGCTGCAGAGTTCTGAATGACCTGCAGCTTGTGGAGGGAGGTGCTGGGAAGGCCGGCGAGGAGAGAGTTCCCATAGTCCAGCCTTGAGGTGATAAAGGCATGGACCAGGGTTTCAGCAGCGTGAGGGGTGAGGTAATGCCGTAGTCTGGCGATGTTCCGGAGGTGATGGAAGGCGGTGCCAGTTGTGGTGCGGATATGAGGGAGAAAGGACAGCTCAGGGTCGAACAGAACCCCGAGGTTCCTGACGGCTTTGAGAGGTGGAGAGTGCAGCCTTGGATGCTGATGCTGTCAGCGCCTGAGCTGCGGAGGCGCTGACGTGAGCCAATCAGGAGGGCCTCAGTTTTGCGCACGTTGAGCTGAAGAAAGTTGTCTCTCGTCCAGGACTCGATGTCGGACAGGCAGCTGTCAGGACATCGGTGGTCGTGAAGTTGAGGGTAGAGGAGGAAAGGTAGAGTTGGGTGTCATCCGCATACATGTGGAAGTTAACCCCATGTCTGCGGATGATGTCACCAAGGGCGAGCATATAGAGGGTGAAGAGGAGGGGACACCGCACGAGACAGTGCGGGGGCCGGAGGAAAAACCATTTGTGGAGACAAAGTGGAGACGTTGGGAGAGGTACGACCTAAACCACTCAAGGACAGGGCCTTGAAGGTTTAGGTGGGAGGACAGGCGGTGGAGGAGGATAGCATGGCCGACCATATCGAATGCTGCCGATAGGTCGAGGAGGACCTTTCGGCAGCATTCCTAAACTGTGAATCTACATACATAATAGTTTTGTGTGCTTTGAAATTGCTGGTTACAGGCAGCCTGGAAACCTGACCTCACAAGGCTTCAGGAAACTCTGGGGAGTGTTGTCTATAGCCTAACGTTGTTTCATTACTACGATGGCAATTTTTACCAAATAATCATACAATACTAATAAATACATTTAAAAAGAGCTACAGTATATAATTTATGTCCCTTTTACAAAATGTACCACAGCTCATTTATGCATTATCAAGCCTGACTTACAGTCTGTGCCAAGGCTGGAACCAGAAATCTAATCAAATGAATCTCCACATGTCAACCTATAACCCCCTGTCAATTTATATACACATCAGGACATAATTATCTGCCTGTGAGGCCTAACATACAGACATACAACATGCAGTTCTCATTTCTAAGTGAGAAAGTTCTCAAAGATTTGACTAGGGATGGGCGGATTAGTTGCCACAGGTCAACCACGTGCAGAGGAAATTATTATGTACTCAGAAACAAATGAAAATTAATAATTAGGTAATCAACTTTTACTTAACATTTACTTATTAAAAATATCGGAGCACATGCACTTGTCGAAAAGCAAAATATATGCCCATTTAGAGATGGTTTCCACAAAGTGCATGATACACCCATGAGTCACAGCTTTTTTAAGCTTTCATTGTTTCATCTGACTGCATAATTGAGGAGCTAAAAGACAAACAAAAAAGGAAGCACTTGATATCATCTTGGCTCAAGTACTTTGAGACGTTCTCCTGAGGTGAAACACGCTATATCAAATGGAAGGTTTATGTTTGTTTATTCCTTTTTCTTAAAAAAATGGATGCTCCTTTCTTCCAGAAACATTAACCTGAATGCAAGCTGGCAGATAGCAGTTGGAAATACATAGGAAACATCTGGGTTATAACAAATAAAACAGAAGTTAACAGAATAGGGAAGAGGAGAAAATAGAATGGAAAAGGTGACAAACCAAACATGAGTATTTATATGTTTTATAATAATAATCCTTGCATTTGATATAGCGCCTTATCATGTCTTCAAGACGGCTCAAAGTGCATCACAGAATATACTGTTAAATGAACTGATTGTCTATTTTGTGGATGAAACACAGCAGCCAATTACACACATCAGTGTCCCACAAAGTCATGGATTGAAGTGACCAAACAATTTTTTATTAATCTTTTTTGAAGGAATAATTTTCCTGGAAAAGCGATCTGCCAATCGACTAACAACAGCGTTCCTACTTACTGCTAGCTAAACAGAGTCATGTGGAGTAAGGAAACTTGCCCAACATTTCGCCCTGCAGGGAATCAAACCCAGGTCTCTCGCTTTTTATTTAAAAGTTTTGTGTTCACTTTAATAGATTAAGGTTAAGGACACAGCATTAAAGCTGACTTCATGTTTTATTATTAGTATTTATTTCAAGAGAGGAATTATATTCACCGTGGGCGAGGTGCACCTGCTGGGCCCACAAAGACCAGAATCTCCATAGAGTTTGCAGTTTAAAGGAGTTTAAATGAACTGGGTTAAAAAAAAGTTTGATTTAATGGTACAGTTGATTCCTGTGTGGTTGTCTAACTGCAGCTGGAGACAGTATGAGTTACACACTAAAAATACAATTCCTGCTGACGTTGATCGAAGTCTAGGTCACATTGCACATCCAGAGCATATTCCAACACACACTTGCACAATATGTTTTCATAAATTTGAAACACAAGGTCACAGCTCCCAAATGAACCTCAAACAACATTTAAGCTCACATAGACGTCACTACCTGCAACAGTGACATTCTGCTTCAAACATAATAATATTCCTTGCTTTTGATATAGCTTCTTATCACATTGTCGAGACATCTCAAGGCGCTTCACAGAATATACTGTAAAGTGAAATGCAAAATACTGCAAATGCTGGAAATCTGACACAAAAACAGAGATTGCTGGGAACACTCAGCAGGTCAGGCAGCATCTACGGAGAAAGGAAAGTGGGTCAACATTTCGGGTCCAAACCCTTCCTCAGAACTGGGGGATGTTGGGAGGGAGAGGTTTTAAGGACTAACAGAGAGGTGAGACAGGGCAAGGAAGACAAAAGAGAAAAGGGGGTGGAGGACAGGAGATGATGGGTTAACGAGGTGTTAGTGATGCAAAACAAAGGAGGGCAGCAGAGGGAGTCCAGAGACAGAAAAGGTATGTTTGGGTCCCAGTATGTTTGGGTCTCTCCTGGACGAGAGATAACTTTCTCCAGCACAACGTGCGCAAAACTGAGGCCCTCCTGATTGGCTCGCGTCAGCGCCTCCGCACCTCAGGCGCTGACAGCATCAGCATCCAAGGCTGCACTCTCCACCTCTCAAAGCAGTCAGGAACCTCGGCGTTTTGTTCGACCCTGAGCTGTCCTTTCTTCCTCATATCCACGCCACAACTGGCACCGCCTTCCATCACCTCCGGAATGTCGCCAGACTACGGCACTACCTCACCCCTCACGCTGCTGAAGCTCTGGTCCACGCCTTTATCACCTCAAGGCTGGACTATGGGAACTCTCTCCTCGCCGGCCTTCCCGCCACCTCCCTCCACAAGCTGCAGGTCATTCAGAACTCTGCAGCTCGTGTACTGTCCTGCACCAGGCTTCGGGAACACATCAATCCCACCCTCGCTCGCCTCCACTGGCTCCCCATCCCCCAGAGGATCGAATTCAAGATCCTCATCCTCACCTACAAGGCCATTCACGGCCTCGCTCCCTCCTACCTCTCCGACCTACTATCCCCCTACCTACCTGCCCGTACCCTCCGTTCCTCTGGCTCCGGTCTGCTCCACATTCCCCGCCCCAACTGCCCTACCATCGGTGGTCGGGCCTTCAGCCTCTCAGCCCCGAGGCTCTGGAACTCTATCCCCCAGTGCCTTCGCCGCTTCATCCCTTTCCTCCTTCAAGGCTGGTCTCAAGACCTTTCTCTTTGACCGTGCCTTCAGCTCCCCTCTCGACTCTCTGCCCCCTCCTCGCTCCCTCCCTTCCCTCCCCTCACCCTGACCATTTCCCCCCTGCTCGGGTCCTGACCCAACTGTACAGCGCTTTGGGACGTCCTCCCGACGTGAAAGGCGCTCAATGAATGGAATCTTGTTGTTGTTGCTGATGTGCTAATGGTCACAGAAGCGGGGGAAGGGGAAGGTGAGCTGTTATGGTAGATGGGAAGTCTTATGTGATAACTGACATGTCGCCACTGACAATGTCTTTTGATTTTCTGGCTGACTTCCAAATTGCTGAGGGCATCTACGCCACTTTAGAAGAAAAATAGCCTTTTACACCTTTGTAATATTTTTCTGGGATCATATTTGACTAGAACTTTCACATGACAAGCAATTTCACAAAAATGTGTCTATTATACACCACATTTATGAGTAGCTACATATCAAATAGGGAGAAGTTCCACCCAGGTCTAGATTTACTCTATTTATGTAGCATGTTAGAGCATCCAGAACTTGAAAAATTCTTGTATTCAGTCACATCTTTGAAATTGGTTTTCTACAGTTCTTGAAATAACTTACAGAAAACTGGCTTCAAAAATAAGGTTGTGTTTAAGAACCAGCAAAGTTGCCAATCCCAGGATGGGTAACAGAGAGGAAGATTTACATAAGGATAAAGATTTGTAGGAGCAAGCTCTCGTCTTTGAGAATAAGTCTCAATCTTCTGTTCGTCTTCCTGCCTTTTTTCTCCCTCACTTCCCATCTCCATTCCCACTTTCTATACCTATCCTGTCTCACTGTGAGTATATTCTCTGTGTCAGTCTTCATGATGTTACTCATCAGTGCACAGTATTCCAGGGCACTGCTGACGACAGCACAGCCAGCCTGGCTCACTGGCAGGACCTGGAAGGGCAAACCAGTCACTGGGGGCAGGGAGTCATCCCACTCCATAAATAGAGCAAATCTAGACCCAAGTCCACGAGAGAGGGAATTCTATATTTGTATAGGCCTTTTAACCTTGCAATAAAAAGAAAAATGTACTCCCACTTCTGAAATTAAAGGTGTAAACTCTCGCATCAACTGAAAAGACTTAGCACCATCTTCATCAATGTCCTCAGCAAGAAGTCTCAGGAGAGAAAGTATCTAAAGTACTCACTTTTTCAATTAGTTCGTAACACTCTTCAAGCTTGAGAATCCTGTGCTGTATTGAAGTGGCTGCAGTTTGGTATATCGCTGACCAGTTCTTGTATTCACGCTCCGAAATGTCAGCAACAGCAAAACACAAGGTTCTTAAACCTCAAATAGAAGAGAAGATCATGTTACACTTTCTATTTAAACAACATTAAATACAAAGAAATCATATTTTGAAATTAAGAGGAAGAGAACACAAGACCCTGTTCACCTTTCACAAGATCATTACTGTAAATTACACCTCCCAAGTGGCTTTGAATTCCCATAGAAAATAACGGGAAATGGTGATATGAAGGATGTCATGCCACACTTATTCTACAAATGCTTGGAAAGAAACTAATATGGTTATTTCCTGGCCCAGAAATATAGGAAGGGAGGGAATACAAGGGAATTTTATTTGAGGGAATACAAGGAATTCTCCAAATTTGATGAGTTTAATAGCCATAGTTTGAATTCCCGCAATTTTATTACCAATCCTCCAGTTTACACTTTTGTAATTTAATACATTTAACACATCTACCTACTAACCATTTCAATGTTTTGCAGTTAGAAGTACTCACACTAAAGCAGTAAACTCTTCCCTCTTTTGTTCTGACAGTGGCAAAAGCTCTGTCTCCGATCCGGCTTCCGCGCTGCCCATAGCACCACTTTGTTGCCTCTAACGGTTTCTCCTCCAGCCCCCGCACTATCACGTCTGGCGTCCCCAGGGCTCTGTCCTTGGCCCTCTCCTCTTTAATATCTACATGCTCCCTCTTGGTGACATCATCCGCAGACATGGGGTCAACTTCCATATAAATGCGGATGACACCCAATATCTTTCTGCTTCCACCCTCAACTCCAGGACCACTGCTGTCCTGACAGACTGCCTGTTGGACATCAAGTCCTGGATGAGGGCAAATTACCCACCGTTGAATGTGAACAAGACTGAGGCCCTCCTGATTGGCTCACGCCAGCGCCTCAGCACCTCAGGCTCTGGCAACATCAACCTCCATGGTTGCACACTACAACTCACCAGCCAGTCAGGAACCTGGGTGTCTTGTTCGACCCTCAACTGTCTTTTCTTCCCCACATCCAAGCCATAACTCGCTCTGCCTTCCTTCACCTCCGTAACATCGCCCGACTCCGCCACTACCTCACCCCTCAGGCCGCTGAAACTCTTGCTCATGTCTTCATCACCTCCAGGTTCGACTATGCAAACGCCGTTTGTCGGCCTTCCCAACTCTTCCCTCCACAGGCTGCACATAATCCAGAACTCAAATGCAAGGATTATTATTATTAACTCTGCAGCCCGTGTCCTCTCTTGCACCAAACTCCGTGACCCCATCTCCCCCACTCTCGCCTGACTCCATTGGCTCCCTATCCTTCAGAGGATCCAGTTTAAGATCCTGGTCCTCACATACAAAGCCCTCCAATGGCCTCATCCCACCCTACCTCTGCGACCTCCTAAAACCCTACCAACCCACCAGTTCCCTCTGCTCAGCCGGCTCTGGCCTGCTCCATGTCCCCCGACCAACCCGACCCACCCACCCCCCCTTCATCCACTCTGCCCCCAACCTCTGGAATTCCACCCCCCAGTCACTCCACTTCGCCCCCTCCTTAGCCTCCTTCAAGTCCCGCCTCAAGACCCTCCTCTTCGACCATGCCATCGGTCACCCCCCCTTCCCTTCCCCTCTCCTCCCTTCTCCCTCCTGACCCCAGCTTGGGTCTGAAATGCTGTACACTGTCCAGCACCTTGAGACGTCCTCCCGACGTGAAAGACGTTATACAAATGTAATCTTGTTGTTGTTGTTGTTGTTGTCTGACATTACCTTGCATTCTTATTTTTAATCATCTTTCAATGATGGGGACCAAAATGAGGCTTGTCTTTAACAAATGAAATACACGGCTGAAATTTGTAGTACTCTCACCTCTGAGTCAGAAGGTTTAGGGTTGAAGGCCCACATCCAGATTTTGAATTCACATAGTTTAGGCTAATACTCTCGTACACTGTTGGGGGTGTTGCTGCACTGTTGGAGGTGCTGTACTTCGGATGAGAGGTTAAACCAAAGTCACTTCTACCTGATCAGGTGAATGTTTAAGATCCTATGGCACTATTTGGGCAAAGAAGGGAGTTTCCCAGGTTCAAGGCCTACAATCCCCCAAATAAAACTGGTCATTCTCGTTCACTCATGGCTATTTGTAGGATGTTGCTGTGTGCAAAATTAGTTTTTGTGTTTTGCTTACATTACACTTTACAGTAAAATATGTAATGATTCTCCACCCAAAGCTCAGGTTTGTTAATACATTTCTTTATTATCAACTTAATGCACTAACTATAATTACACTGATTTGTTCTACTCCCAGTGTCCTTTTGTACTTCCTGACTTTATCTCATTGGCTTTCTTAATTGCTCTTAAAAGGATATCCTCCAAAATCCTGTGAAGTGCTTTGAGACATCCTCCTGATGTGAAAGGTGGTATACCGAATGCTATGATTTTTTTTAGTATTAGATAGTTATAATAATATTATTATTAGAGGATAGTCACACTACGTGTTGTGTGCCTAAGAGATGAAGGAGACAAACTTAGAATGAAGAATGATGAAATGACAGTGATACTAAATAAATACTGTGCCTCAGTTTTCACAGAGGAAGTGTATTTGGGGAAATTAAATCACCATAAGTGAATCCAGAACAGTTGATGGATGTTATTATTCAAACAGAAATGATATAGCAGGAGTTATTTAAACTTAAGCTGGACAAATGATGATTTACATTCAAGGATCCCTAGGGAAAAAAAATCAGGAAAAAATAGCAGTCTCTGACTATAATTTCTCAAAATTATGTAGAAAGTAAAATTGGGTCAGAGGACTGTAGGATAGCAAATGTGACACACTCTTCAAAAAGGAGACAACAACAACAAGATTACATTCGTATAACGTTTTTCATATTGGGAGGACGTCCTAAGACGCTGGACAGTGTACAGCATTTCAAACCCGAGCTGGGGTTGGGGGGGGTCAGGGGGAAGGGGATGGCCGATGGTATGGTCAAAGAGGAGAGTTCTTGAGGCAGGACTTGAAGGAGGCTAAGGAGGGGGTGAGGCGGAGTGACTGGGGGATGGAATTCCAGAGGCAGAGTGGCTGAAGACTCTCCCGCCAATGGTGGGGCGGGTGGGTTGGGGACGTGGAGCAGGCCAGAGCCGGCTGAGTGGAGGGAGAGGGCGGATTGGTAGGGTTTAGGGGGTCGCAGAGGTAGGGTGGGGCGAGGCCATGGAGGGCTTTGTATGTGAGGACCAGGATCTTGAACTGGATCCTCTGAAGGATAGGGAGCCAATGGAGTCGGGCGAGAGTGGGGGGAAGATGGGGGTCACGGAGTTTGGTGCGGGAGAGGACACGGGCTGCAGAGTTCCGGATTATCTGCAGCCTGTGGAGGGAAGAGTTGAGAAGGCTGACAAGCAGGGAATTGCATAGTCGAGCCTGGAGGTGATGAAGGCATGAAGATAGGGATTAGCCAGTAAATTATCAGGATCTAAAATATGGGATAAAGTACTAAAGATTTGGAGAGAAACAAGATAACTAGTCAATACAGTTCCCTAAAAATCTTGAATATTACTGCACCCATTATATAATTCAGTCCATCGAGTTTATGATAGTTGTTTGAAAGAGTGATCATTTCAGTTTTACTGTCCTGCCCCTTCACTACACCCTTTCTTATTTTTCTTTTCTAATTCCCTATTAAAAACTGTTGATTGTTAGCTATTTAATTGTGCAGCTTCCTATGTAGTCTCAACACTGCATAACTGACTGCGGTCTTTTGCGACCTAAAATTGCAGAAGACTATAGGAGAATATAGATAGACCAGCATGGTAGGCATATAGATGAAGTTCAAAATAGAGAAACAAAAGTATTCCATTGTGGAAGATTTACTTGTAGATTATTATCATGAGGGGATTCTGATATAAAGAGAGGTATGAGAAGTCTGGGCTGTTTTCATTAGAGCTGAGAAAGAAGAGTCTCTAGGATTACAAAGAGGTTTATGATAGGATAAATCGCAATAGATTATTTCAATTGACTGCAAGTCAGTAACAAAGGACAGAAAATTAAAATGAACATAAAAACCATTAGAGGCTAGACAAGGATTAACACAGTGGATGGTTGGTATATGAAAATCATTGCCACAAAAGATTGTGGAAGCAGATTCGGATAAATTCTTCATGAAAGGAATCAGATGTTTCAAAATCAGGAATATGGAGAATGGGGTCATGGGATTGAACTAGTTGGCTCATGTGGAGAAAATTATCACAGACTTAATGGGCCAAATAATTCATTTCTGTACTATAATTATAACAATTGTTACATTTTATAACAAAGATCTACCATTAGTTTGCTTTAACTGGAAAACTACTTTCATCTACTTAATTAAAGGTATTTTGTTAGGTTATGAAGGTAATTACATTATAAAGGCAAGGAATTACAAAGGAAACATACATATCCTGTAATCCAAATTAAATCAGATTGACTATTACAAGCCATCCATATAACACAGTAACTTTTTCTACAAATTAATATTGATAAAAACATAAAACTGTCACCAAAAAATCATATGGAAGATGCACATTGCAGAACACAAACCTTCTGTAGCAAACATCTCTAAATGATTCAAAGTCATTTCCTTGTATTTTGATTTCTCAGATAGACGTTCATAAATGACATTATCCTGTAAAAAGAAATCAAGATGGAAATTGATACAATGAAATCACACAATATTATTTAATTAAATATTGCATTACTTCGAGCTTCTAGTGGCAGTAAATGGATGTAGGAAAATCTGATACTATATAAAGGCTCAAGATTAAACACACAAACACACACACAACAATGTTCATTTTACCAAGGAACATTTAGATTTGTGAAGATTCAAATGATCAATTTAAATAGAAAGACTCTACAGCAGATTCTCAAAGAATTAGTTCTGGTTGGTAACCTTCTTACATCAATTGGTGTCATAAGAGATCTTCAGGTTCCTTTACATGCAGTTATTAGGTATAAGTGCTGAATTTACTTTGGAAAGTTTTCAAAGCTCTCTAAAAAGATAATTCTAGATTTCAGCAGGAGAAACTAGATTTTACATTTGAAACCTGTGGTTCTGAACATTGAGTTGGCTATAAGCAATTCCAAAATAATAAACAAGGGATTGAAATTAAAAACCGCACTGATATTCCAATAAAACCACTGATAACTTGAGATTTCTGATGCTCACTGCAACACATGATGCAGAGAAGCAGACAGGAAGATTACATTCCTGACCTCAGTGGCCCAATTCTGCGGAGAAGTGCTATACATTAGCTGGGATACAACAGGTAAAAATGAGATTGGGCTTGGTCGCAATGCACCCCCTCAATTACCCATGATAAAATAACTTGTTGACACATATTATCTGGGCTCACAACATCCTAATAGGGAACTGCACATATTACTGTACTGAGTTTATATAACAAGAATAACTCGCACTTTTATAGTGCCTTCCACTCAGGATAGCATCTCAGAGCTCTTGTCAGTGGCAGAGCCTGACTGCAAGCTGGGGGGGAGGTGACCGTAAGCACAGCTGAAAAGGAAGGTTTTCAGCTGGGACTTGGAAAAGGGGAAAGGGGGCAAGGCAGAGGGATTGAGGGAGAGTGTTCCAGAGTTTATAATAGGGGAAATTGTTGCAATGTGGGCAAATGTAGAGTAGGAATGGGAGAGGGAGCCGGGAAAATGGGAGTTCAGACCGCATTAAATGTGCTGGAATCCCACTCCTGAGCTACCTGGAGCAATGTGAGATACAGTTCACACTCACACTGTATAAACAGGGCAGGTGCTAAACGCAATGAACTCACTCTCCCAAGTGAGAGACAAAACATCCAAGCCCTTTTTTGATAATATTGCAGAGTGAACACTGAGATGGTTTGTAACCAATTTTTACTTTTTTTAAATCATTGGCTAACACTGCTAACTGTAGTAAATAGCATGACCACTCCTTCCAAGGCTAGCAGAAAAATGAGATAATGATGGATTATTCTCCACTGTTTTGGAGCAGAAATAGATATTTAAAGACACCCAAATCGTGCCTCATCTCCAAACCTGGATCACACAGAAAATCCACTTCTTCAACTGAAAAACACCCTTCAAATGACCCCACTATTGAGCCACAAACATCTGCAACAGCATTTGTATAACTTTTATTCTAATAAAAGGTTGTGCTGAGCTTCTTGCAGATTCATCACCAATGCAATGTTTGCAGTACCTCAATCCTACATTAATATTTATATGGGAGGCAGGAGAGAACTGACAACATTGTGCACATGACAAAGATTTAAGCATAAACACCCACGGCTTCACTTTCACAAAAGCATTATTTTCTGTGAGCATGACTGGTGATTTTGCTCCCACAGAAATGTCATGTTGCATGTGAAATATTTCAACATGTTTTACTCAACACAGGGAGCCAGAAATCATGTCAAACCAACAGCAACAACCTCCCATTATTCATGCATCCTAATAGGGAGGAGAAATAACCAAATATATATCAATAGTGGTGAGTATAAACTAATAAACTACTAATAATAAATGAACAGGACTGAACCACTTATAATCACAAGAGGGGTTCAGATGAAGAATGGCCCTTGGTCCATCAGAACCCATCCTCACAGAATCCACATCCTGCAGCCTTTCCATTAAAGCATCAAGCTATTTCTTCGATAAATCCAGCATCAAAACCTCTACCAACCTTCTCCTATTTCAGGTGTTAATTTATTTCTGGATAAAGAAATACTTTCCACAACCCTCTGTGAATAAAAGTTTTCTGATCTCATTGCTAACCATCCCAAATCTAATTTTATGATTATTGCATGTTTTTTGGAAGGGCTCCCTCTTTCACAGGGAAGATTTCAACATGTAACTTATCAATTCCCTTCATTATTTTAAACACCTCAATCAGATCACTCCTTCACCTCCTCAATCAAAGGAAAATAACTCAAATCGTCCCAGCCTTTCATTCCAATCCTTGTGCCTGTCCTACAAATACCTTTCACAACTGTGGAAACATACACTCTTGTCCTGATGTCTCAGCACATCTGAAACTATTGTTCCGGGTTTACTTTCTCAGTACCATTTAATATCATATACCTCTATAGAATCGCCTCTGAGTAATTTATTTTCAAGACTGAAGAACCCTCGCCTAACTAGCCATTCCTCACTGCTCACCACTGTACACTTCCTCAAAGACCCTTATGTCGCAGCGACCAGAATTGTATGCACATGTGGATAATATCAGGAATCCGAAGTCAATAGGTTGAGCAATATAGTGCCAGCATCCTGTCTATTGCTACCTCACACTGTTTGGACATGGTGAGGAACTTGTCAATAAACACCTGAAGAACTCTTTCACATTCTCCCTTGGTAAATTCTACACGTGCTTCCCATTTTTCTTCCATTTTTGTAAGTGTAGAACTTTAAAACCAGGGAACTGTCTTTTTTTGCAACCCTGATTTAAAGTTAAACGCAATATAATTTACATTGATAAAGCGCCTTTCACATCGGGAGGCCGTCTCAAAGCGCATGGAGCAGGGAGTACACATTAGTCTCACTTCCATCTGTTGGGAGAAGAGTGGCTTTGATCCCAGCCGTATATATATAGCATGGATCTCACTTATGGCAGGTAAGAGGTGCCTCATTTGGGGGAATATAACCAATATTCCACTCTTCTTATTATGTACTCTCTCCTCTGTACATAATTCTGACCTGCTTGCATTTATGAAACTTGCTGCTTTGAGCCTTATCTTAACTACAAAAAGAATCCTGTAAACTGCAGAGTCCATTCTGTGCAATCTAATCTTTACCACAGATGTTTAGGTTAATTCGTTGACCAGTCAAAAAAATGTTCTTTCCCAATGAAGTAGTACAAAATGGCACATGTTCGGGTTTAGAAGCATTCATTGTCTGGAAATTGAACAAAAGCCATGTATCAGCTTCAGTGAACCAGGAGGCTTTCAGTTAAAACATCCAATACGTTGCTCACTCATGCGCAAGATCTTAAATGCCTCAGATTTAGTAGCTCAAAAAAACAAAATATGAACACATTGAAAAGGAAGTCGAAACAATTATTCACATGAACAAAAAAGGCCAGACGAGCCTTGGTGTCTGCTGAACCCTGACATTTATTTATGTTTTGAAAATTTAAAAGGATCTTCACAGGGGTGGGGGTACGAGATACTGATGAGTATGCTGAGATTATTGCAATTCCCTGTGAACCCTTGGGAGAGTTGAATTTCCACTGCAGCTCATCCGTCTATCATAACAGTTGCAAAATCTATTCCTGCTGATTTTAAATTATTCCACCTTCCTCCGCCTCCTCCTCCTCAACTTCCTCAGGTGCGAGAGTGGGAAGAACAACCTGTTCCGAATCTCTGCAGATTCCATACTGTAAATAGTTACCGCAAGATCTCTCTTCAACTCAGCATCTCATTTGGGCTCAAAACTTCCTCATGAACATTAATCTCCCTACACAGTGTGGCGATACAGAGAAGAATTACCCACCAAAGGATAGAATCAGAGGAGGCAGCTACCATCTTACAAAGTGAGTTCAAGTGAGGATTTGCGCTTGATCACTGTGCAAATGAAATTCAATACAAATTAATCAAGACACTGCATATGGAAGAGCCGTACAAACTCCACAGACAGGACAGAATTTGCCAAGAGGAAAATTCAAAGAGACACAGGAGTGTTATTTGACTCGTTGCTCATTATGTCTAAACAGCACGAGGTAACACAAACAAGGCAAATAAAATGTAAGCTATATTATCACATCAGTTGAGTTCAAGTCCTTCTCAAGCTGTTTAGTCTGCATTTTTTTTTGCTCCTTTCTCTCCACCTGACACACAGGGTCTAATCCTAATTTCCAGTTTATTTCACAGACTGGATTTAATCGATTCTAAAGCTTGTTGTTCACAAAGAAGTATCTCCAAAATTAGAGAGAGTCTTAAAATCAATGGTGTCTTAGATTTGCAGGCTTATCTTTACGTCTCTATTGGAAAGGGGATATAAAGTAAATTCTTGCTGTGATGTATGGGCAAAGTTTGTAAGTGATTTTAGCATAACAGAATTTTCGTCATCACACAAATACAGTGTAGATACAGTGTATCTATTTATGTATCAGTGTATGTATTTAAGTCAGTACTTAAATCTGTATTTTTAAATGATATTCAATGGAGACTGATGGTGTTACTTACTGCAAAAACACTTTCTCTTCACAATTTCACTGTTAAAATTAAAACTCAGTGCATCAACTCAATCAAGCCCTTCATTCCCAGAAACTCAACAACTTTTTACAGGACTTTAAAACCCAGATTTGGTATCAGCAGATCTAAACTCTTCACTGTGACTTATCCAGAGTCTCTCTTACACTTTTCTTTAGTGGTGGCTTAGCACATTGAGTCTTGGTTCTTGGTTTCTCAATAAAAGAAAAATATATATTCAGCCTCATTTTGCCAACCAAAATTCTGAAGCTAATAATTAAAAGCTGCCCCTCGCCCATTGACTTGACTGATGACACTCAGCTGAAAATACTGAAAACAGAAAAGTTAATAACGTCTGCATCAAACACCACACCAATCAATTCAGCTCTTCTTGTTTGGAAACAGCGTTATCTCGATTACTTATTGAAACAAATTGGATAAAGCTTACCGCTCCTTTACAGTAAAGCCGCAGCTGCCCTGTTGGCGTTCTAACGATCACAGACATCCTTTTTCTTTCACTGGGTGAAGAAACAGCAGAAAAACACATTTTTAAAAATTAATCTGACATTTACTTTTCCAACAACATTTTGGATTCATATAAGGCCCTTCAAGCGGGGCAGCGTCTCAGAGTGCGTAATAGTGGAGGAGTGCTTAACAGTGACGGAGAGTTTAACAGTGGAGGAGCGCTTAACAGTGGCGGAGCCCGACACCGAGCCGGCGTCATTGGTTTCAAATGCAATGCAGTGTAACTGCGGTCCACCCGAGCCAGGCAGATACTGACGCCCTCACACACATATAGGTCAAGGAGCACAGGTTTATTAGCCTGGGTGGGGGGGGGTGGTGCGGTTCCAGGTAAATCTCAGCAGCTTCAACAGTGACATACCACATTCCCCATCAATATACAGTCCCAGTGGATGCAGGTATCTGGGTTCGTGACCAGTGTCCTGCAACCTCTCGACATGCACCCGTCCTCACAATCCCCCATCAGGTTGTCTACAATCGCCTGACCAGCCATGTGGCCTAGACTACTTTGTTGCCTGGCCCTCCAGGTTTGGGTTTTCTCTCTTGGCCATGAAGGGATTAAAGATCAGAATGAAGACGATATTAAAGATGAGCCACTGGAAGCCAGTGGAGTCCGGCAAGGGTACAGGGGAAAGAAAGAGGGTAATGGGTGTGTAGTACCTTGAGAGGGAGAGAATATGAGCTGAGAGTTTTGGGACAAGCTAGAGCTTGAAAGTCTGGTGAGGAGAGGATTGGAAAGGTCTAACTTCAAGGTAACAAAAGCACAGACGAGAAGAGAATTTCAGCTGTGGAGGGGTTGAGATGGGGGCACAAGCAGACAATGTTCAGGTGATGGAATAAATGGTTTGGGTGAAGGCCCCGGAAGTAGGTTTCAACTAGAGCTACTGTTCTGAGGGGTTTCAATCAACACATCAAAAAAATTGAGAGTAATTTGACTTCAATGCGAATTTATCTCAAGTGGAATCAAATGCACTAAAGTACCTTTTCTCTGTATAAAATTGCTCAACATATACATCCTCAAAATACCATTTTTGATTGTGCTTTTTTAACAATAGGCTGAAGATTTTTTGGAAAAAAGAAGCTGAATGGCTTTCAGATTTTTGAAAAAAATAGTTTAGTTCAGAATGAGTTAAAGCTGAAGATTGAATTCTCGTCTGAAGCTTCAATAAATTTACTCCCTCCTGCTGACTCACACAAGCCAGGGTCATTTTCTTTTCTTTTCTGATGGGAAGCAAGCGCTGCACTATACCCGTGGGCAGAAATTGGAAGGAATTATCTGCAATGTCTGCCACCCACACAGAGAAGTGATTTACAACCCACTCTGTGTTCCACCAGCCAAAGCCTTACAGCAGGAAAGGGGATGTGTGATTCAAAAAAAAGGATACTTTGGAATATATTTCCAACACTTTTGATGTTCTGTTGTAATCATCACATTTATTTGAGTTCTCAGGCTCCACACATACAGACACATGCACACACACACATACACACACGCACTAACACACACGTGCAAAATTTTTCATTAAAATATTGTTAAGAAATACATTTCCCATCACTGATGGATTAAACAAGGATTCCCACAACTTCGAAAAGTACAGGAAGGCAGAACTTCATGTGAAGCAGATCGTCAGAAAATACATAGAATTATATCTCACTTTCAAACTGTGCTAAATTTGAAAGATACAGAATAAGAGATGCATTAGTCTGCAATAGAAATCCATTAGTCTCTAACTGAAGTAATGACAAAAAGTGAGAAATAGGGAACCGAAAGTATACATGGTCTTGTCAGGAATGTAATTTTCATTACTCTGAGTAGAAGCTAACTCTTGGCCAATAACCCACTAGCCTCTAGCCTTAAATCAATCATAAGCACTCTGATGAGATTTTAGAGTGCTTTCCCAACAATCGTACGGAAAAAAAGGAATGGAGCTATTGTAAATTTATTGATCATAGACTTAGACTACTGCACCCAGCGGGATGACGAATGATTCTTACTTTCCAGACTGGTTGTCCACTTTTAAGGGTCATTAGCTGGTGCTTGTGATTCAAATTCATAACATTATCATTGGAGGGGATTCAACAAAGACTATCATCACTGGAAGGGAATCTACGTCTCAAAACGTACCTGTTTGACTACGCTTGTGGTCAGATTTCTCCTCTCCTCAGCCCCCATTCTCAACGTGGGTGCCTATCAGGCACTGTTAAGCACTTTGAGGCGTTTTCCCCGTTATGAAAAGCGCTATACAAGTGTGAATTGTATTGTAATCACAGAAGAGCAATATCATTGAAGAGGATTCAGTGAAGAATATACAATATAAATTTACTTTTATAATGTGCCTTTCACACCGGGAGGATATGCCAAAATGCTTTGATTCAGAGAAGCACATTATCATTCAAGAGGATTTAGAGAATAATAATAATCATTGCATTTTATATAGCGCCTTATCACGTTGTTAATACGTCTCAAAGCGCTTCACAGAATATACTGTAAAGTGAATGGACTGTATTAAATTAAATTAATTAAAGAAGAGCAATAAGAACAATACTTGGGCTTGTTGGAGCTCCAAGTAATGAGGAGAGGCTCACAGAATAGAACCTAGGAATGAACAGGATTTTTAACTTTAAAATAATAAGGCATAAATAATACAAATGCAAGAAAGCTTTTTGACCCAGGGTTTGAGAGCAGAACTAGAGGGCAATAGTTTTAATGTCAGGAAGCCTTTCACAGAATTGGACATTAAAATATACGCAGTCAATCCACTTTACAATATATTCTGTGAAGTGCTTTGACATGATAAGATGCTACATCGAATTCAAGCATTATTATTTTTATTATTCTCTGAATTCTCTTCAATGATAATGATAACAATGATATTATTAAAATAAATGTAGAAGATAGACTTCATGATTGATTATCATTGGGTTCAGGGATTATTTATAAATTTGCTAAGAAGGTAAAGTGGGTGGGATGAAGCGCAGGTTAGGGGAGGTTTTCTGTAGCAGCAGCAATCGTGATCGACCGAATGGCCTTTTCTCATTCCATGCTCGTATTCAGTTGCTAAATTCAAACACCCACAATATTTTAGAATTGGCAATATTCAGTGACTTGGCTTCTGCCGCATCTGAACATAATCAAATTAAATGTGCAGGAGTAAAGCGAAGAGAGCTGCCTTATTAACTAAAATATCCAGATTAGCTGCTGGAAAAATGTTTTATATAGTGTTTGAAACAACTATGATGTTGATTCAGATGTGGTCCAGTGACACAGACTGCCTCTTAGGGGACCAGCAACATTGTAATATTTAGCAGTATCGTAAGATTTATCATCTGACTTTAGAATCCATGGATTGTTAGCTTCAAGTTTAACTGCAATTTAGAAACTGCAGCACTGTACTTGGTGTCTGCATGCAAAAACAATTAGTCCTTTTACATTTCAATCACCTGTCTTATGGGCAGACAGCATCCTTTATTTTAGCAAGCAAGTAATAATCCTTGCATTTGTTCTAGCGCATTTCACATCGGGAGGACATCTCAAAGGGTTTTACAGGATTTTCTGTAAAGTGTAGACACATGGGAAGCAGTCGGGATATTGACAGCATGGCAACTTAAGCAGTAGTGACTAGTTAAGTCAGGGTCGAATTATCAGCAGTTTACTGTATAACAATTTAATAGGTCCCTATTTATAGGAAATAACTGAACTGAAGCAGAATACAGCGAGGGCAACACAATTCACGAATAAAGTCAAAAGATATAAATGGTTCCATTATCAATACCCTCACCTTTAACTAGAAATTACACTTACAAGCATGAATTAGACATGCTTACTGAATCATCTGAGTTCCCTAGAACCTTCCCTGGATCCCTCAAACCTCAGCCACTGCTGCTCCATTTCTAACCTGCCCTTCCTCGCAAAAGTCCTAGAACACGTTGTTGCCAATCAACTTCGCACACACCTCTCCTCCCATTCCCTTTTCGAACCCCTCCAGTCCGGTTTCCGCACTGCCCACAGTACAGAGACTGCGCTTGTGGAAGTCACAAACGACATCCTCTCTATCTGTGACCAGGGTTCCCTCTGCCTCCTTGTCCTCCTGGACCTCACCACGGCGTTCGACAGTTGATCACGCCATCCTTCACCACCGCCTTTCCTCCGTCATCCACCTCAGTGGGACCGCACTTGCCTGGTTCGAGTCCTACCTCACAAACCACCAGCAGTACATCTGCACAAATGGCTTCTCCTCCTTCTCTCACCTGGTCACCTGCGGGGTACCCCAAGGATCCATCCTTGGCCCCCTCCTCTTTCTGATCTATATGCTCCCTCTTGGGGATGTCATCGCAGATATGGGCTACATTTCCACATGTACACGGATGACACCCAACTCTATTTTTCCACCTCCCTTTGCGACTCCCAGTCCCCTGATGTTCTGTCAACCTGCCTGTCAGATCTCAGGGGCTGGATGAGCGCAAATTTTCTTCAGCTGAATGTTGACAAGACGGAAGCCATACTCTTTGGCTCTCGTCAACATCTAAAATCTCACGGCTCTCACCTACTCCACCCACCCGATCTCCCCCTAAAACTCTCCGAATCCGTATGCAATCTAGGCATCAGGTTTGACCCCCAATTATCCTTCCTCCTCCACATCCGGTCCCTCACTAGCGCCGCTTTCTTCCACCTCCGACGCATCGCCCGTCTCCGCCAATACCTCTCTCCGAAAGCTGCTGAAACCTTGTTCCATGCCTTTGTCACCTCTCGGCTGGACTATTCTAACGCCCTCCTCGCCGGTCTCCCATCCACCACCATCCATAAAATCCAGATCATTCAACACTCTGCTACCCGCATTCTCACCCGCACCAAACTCAGCTCCCCAATCACCCCAGTCCTTGCCAGACTGCACCCGCTGCCTATCCCAGAGAGGATCGACTTCAAGATCCTTACCCTATTCAAATCCCTCCACTCCTCTGCACCCCCCCTACCTCTCTGACCTCCTCTCTCCTCAAA